CTTCCTCTTGTTCTTTCCTTCTCTGTGAAAATAAATTACATATTTAAAAATAGTTGATCTGAAAGAAAGGAACGAAGCCCCAAAGCTCACCCTGCAGCAGCGCCCAACGCTTCACAAAGGCCAGACCGCCGGCAATGCTTGGCCACACTTCTCATTCCTTACCCTGCAAGGAAGACAGCAGCTTGCACCCTGCCTGGTCATCCCAGTGCATTCTCCATGGGAGGGTTTTTGGGGGAGGCTGAGAACACGGGGCCTGGAGAAGGCAGAGTATGTTCATTGCATGAAGGTGCATGAGACCTCCACACCCACCCCTGCCCCAACCTTGTTAAATAGTCGCCATTCTGAGAAGACTGAATCAGACGGAAGTTCATGGAGCAGATTGGCGTGCGGACACCATTTGCAGTTTCTCTGTGTGTAGCTCGTCATTATAAAACATGCCATGTCCCACAGGGCAGACAATACAGACATGGGAATAACATTTGGCTCATTAATTCATTCATTCACCAGTTAGTTCATCAATATTTATTAAAGGCTGTTCGCTGCCATCATTCTAGTTGACATCAATTCCCGCACTGAACTCTCTCCTAGCACCCAAGTCTGTCTGGCACACAATTCTACGCCCTCAAATCCGCAAACGCCATCTCTCCTCATCAATTCAGCCACATGTCAGATGTCTCTGGGAGGAGCCATCTACCCTACAGTCTCTGTGAATTCTACAGCTACTTTACCATATCAGTAAGGTGCTGCCATATGGGCTGCAGGAACAAAGCCACCCCCTATGTGTGCATGTGTCCATGGACCTGTGTTGGGGGGTGAGGTTGTCCCAGATGGGAAAGTGGGACTGAAGGGGACAGACGGAGCTGGGACGAGTGTATCGCTCCCTTGCTCGTAATCTTGAAGGTCAAGAAAGGAGTTTCTGAGGGACCAGTGAGTGCGTAGGGGCCTCGTATATAGGTTTGCTAGGGCTGCCTGACAAAGAGCCCCCAACACTTCTCATGACAGACTCCACTTGGTGTCAGGCCAGATACCCTTCTGGAATTTTCAAGGGCTCTGTCTATCCTCCCAGAATTCCTCAGGGAGGACAGAGATCAAGTGGGACTGAGATGAGTGGTGGGGACACAGGGCTGGGGTCCAGGCCCCCGGGCCACTTGTCTGCACCACCATTTCCTGTCTGATAAAGGGAGGGGCCCTCTTTCACCCAGGCCACTGGGATTTTTGCCTTGACCTGAGTACCGCTTCTATTAATACCTTTTCAGGTAATCCTTTGTTTTCCCGTCTTTGTTTTCACATGCTCCCCACTAAACCACAAACTCCTGGAAAGGAGAATTGTTTTATTTTTAATCTTCATGTCTCCGTCTTTGGGCCCAGTACTTGGCACAACATCGGCAGCCATCAAATATTTTGTCAAATAAACAAATAAATGGTGCCTGGGCATAGAGTGCCCCCTGATGGAGTCAGAGAGTATGGCAGTGTCTTACATCTTGGCTGGAACAGTCTGTCAACTTGGAGGGAGGTGTCCTAGCCCTCTGTTTCTGTGCAACCTGTCCAGGTGTGAGGTCATGTGGGGCTGAGGTAGGCTTAGGGGTCCCTGGACAAAGTCTTGTGGGGAGGGGCAGACTGGGCCTTTGAAAGATGTGGCTATCCTAGGATAATAAGGGCCAGGTGGGAAAGGGACACCCAAGGCATGGGAGACAGAAGAGGAGGGAAGAGTTGAACGAAGTCTGAGCTGAGCTGACATGCAGAAGAGAAAGGGCTGGGATTCAAAACCGGGCAGTGAGACCCAGAGTCCATGCTCTTAATCACTGTCAGCATTCACCCACCCGCTCATTTCTTTTCAGAGCCAACTTTATGGATCTGACGCTATGGAAGGCTTGGGGCCGAGACACCAGGTCTCACAGCCACCGGCTTCGTCAAGTACCCCTGGAGGAGCCCCCTCCTTCCCTGGGGAGAGTTTCTGTTCCCCAGGGGTTGGAGAATGTACCCTTGAAATCGAGTCCCCCATTGACTTCTGTGCATCCTCACCTGTTCCTGGGAGTGTCCAGGGTCTGTCTGAAACCTCTTTTCTGCCCGCTGAAGCATCCTCCACGCTCCCGCTCCCTCAGGGCGTGGGTGCCGTGCCAGGGCTCCACCCAGACCAGCTGAATCAGATTCTCAGGGCAGAAAAAGGGGAAACAGCTTTGGAGAGGTGGCTCAGGCATGGGTATTTTTAAAAAGCTCCCCAAGAGAGTCTAATACGCATGCAGGGTTGGGGTCCCTGGCAGCTCCTGTATAAACAAGCGGGACTGGGAAGCACACTTGGACTATGACTTTCTCTGCTTCAGCTCAACAGCCCCTGCAGTGCTGTGCTAGTTCTATGCCCCCATCGCACACACGTGCACACATGCGCTCTGACCCCTGAAACTGCCCACGACAAAGCTGAGCCTCCTATTCTCTGGAGCTGGAAGCCTCAGCAACACTTAAGTTCTCATCCTTTGGTTCCTTTCCCGGTGGCCAACACGCATGTTCAGAAAGGGATTCCTGTCTGCAAGGAGCCTTGGAGCGGAGCAGCCTCCAGCCCAGAGCCTTACTGTGGAGAACTTAACTCCAAGCGGAGGGCAGGGAAGTGTGAGACGGGCTTCCCTGTCTGCCTTCTCAGTCCCCAAGGTGAGGCTCATGCCCTCCGACCCCCACCTCTAGCCTCAGCCCCACCCCTCTTCTAGGACACTCCAACAGAGGCAGGAAGTTGAACAGCAGCCTGCTCGCCCTAATGAGGCAGCTGGGCAGCTCCAGGTTGGCCTTAGAACGAGTGGTCTGGCTGGGCATCTGAGCACCCACTGGGTGTCACTGGCTTCAAACCAGGAGCCCAAGAGACCCCAGAGCTGAGCTCCAGAGGCCCCCATGCCTCCTGGGTGGCCTGGTGTGAGGGCTGGGCACTGTCCTTTTTCTTTCTCCATCACTTCTACCCCTTTTTTCACCTGTTCCTTCTTCACCATGCAGGGCCAGCCTGCCTCTCTGAAACCCCATACCCCTTTCCCAAGGGGCTGGAGCCTTCCACTTGTTCCCACTCTTCTGGCTGGGGATCTGGAAGGCTTAGTGCCACACACCTGGATACCTGTACAGAGAAGCCTCTCCACTTCCTGACTTGCAGAAATGGGACCAGTTTCCTGCTCAAGAAAGCTGGCAGTTTTGGCAACTACCAACAGATGGCACTGGAGCTGCTCCTGGCTGGTCAGGTGAGATTACACCTGAGTTCTAAGGAGAACAGCACCTCTATCAGGTGCAGACTTCACTGCTTCTTGCTTGGCTGCTGAGTCCTACTGCCTGATTCGTATTCCTTGGTTCTGGCCACTTCAGGAACTAGGACCAGGAACTGTTGCACCTTCCAGCACTGCCCCACCACCTGCGTGCTGCAGGGCTGGGTTTGGCCATCTGGTCCCCCCCCGAGCTCCACTGTCCAGTCCCTGTTCACTCCTTTTTCCACCACCCTGAATCTCTGGGCCTCTTTCATGTCCCCTTGAGGACAAACAGAGATGGGACAGACATGCAAGGGTGGGCTGGGATGGAGACGAGGTGGAACCCAGGCATCTAGAGCCAGGCAAGAAAGTCGGGAATTGGAGCATGGAAGGTGCTGGAATTCAGAGTGCGATGGAGCTGGATAAGAATGAGTTGGGAATACCGCAGGCCAGGCCAGGCCAGAGCAGTCAGTACATCTTGCCTTCAGCTCTGCTGGCCAGCAGCACCTCCACCACTGCACTGATTCCTCACTCCCTAGGGGAAGGTGGAGACACCCAGCCCCTTTGTCGGAATTTTTGAACGGCACACTTTGGTTCTTGTTTTTTTGACAGCCTTCGCCGGTTTCACCTGCTGCCTCGGAATACGAAGGGAGACACAGCCCCACCTACAGTTAGGGCTCACCTCTTACAAAGCACAAATAACTCTTGTCTTGCCTCAAGTAGCCTTGGAAACACACACACATTCTACCAGCTTCTGGAAGTGCCTGTGGGAAGACCACCATGGTGCTGGGACAGATGAGCAGTGGGGTCACAGTGGTTATAGGGGTGTGTGGGGGGGAGGAGTGGGAAGGAACCTTCTGACCTTGCTGAGGCCTTCGGAGTTGGGGTCATCCTCACAATGTCAGAAACTCACACATGCAAGTTCCAGGGCAAATGTGCCTCCTGAAGCCAAATATTAGAGGGTTATTTTTTTGTTTTGTTTTGTTTTGCTTTGGGGGGGGGTGTCTGTACTTTTAAAAAATATTTTATTACTAGTTTCAGGTGTACAGATAAATATTAGAGGTTTTTGAACCGACCCCCTTGCTGGTTCACCCCACCTTTCGTCAGCACAGCGGCAAGAACTGACAGGGTGGGTTTTGTGTTCCTCTGGCCTGAGCCACGTGCTGGGTGAGGTGCGAGGAGGAAGTGGAGGAGGTGGCGGTGGTGCAGGCAGGTGGGGCCGGGCTGCGGGGACGGAATCTCCCAGGCAAGCCTGTCAGTTTAGGTTCTCATGGCCACAATTGCCCAACATCCTCTTCCCCCTCATGTTCCTGGGTCAGCAGTTTGAGCACCATCCACTGCTTCTCATAGCCACACTCTTCCTGCCCTCTGCAATCACTCCCCCACCCCGCTCCCCAAGAACCATGATATGGTGGACAGAAGTTTGGGGGTTAATACCTACACACATATTCAACGTGATCTTCAGGTTAGTTACCACATCTCCCTGAGTTGTGAGGTACTGAGACTGACACATGTACGTGGTGGGAGCTCAGTAAAGCACAGCTTAAGTGACATGTAAGTGAATTCGCGTGTCCATTCTCATTTTGAGCCTCTTGTGAAGTGGGCAGGGTGAGCAGCAGTACTTCTATTTCACAGAAGGGGAAATGACCGAACAAGGACGCACAAGCAGCTAGGATGCAACTCAGGACCAGGACCCAAGGGCCGGCCATCCCTGCTCTGCTGTCCCCATTGTCACAGCCAGGGGTTGTCTAAGACCAGCTCCCCTCAACAACCTCCAGCCCCAGTCCTGCTCCCTGGAGGGACCCCAGGTTATTACCTGTGATTCAGGAGACGCTGGAGAACAGTTCCAGAAGGAGGTGGCCCTCTTAGAAGCCACCAGCTCTGTGTGTCCCTGGGGAGCTGGGAGAGGGGGTTGTTGGTTGTTGGTGCGTAAGCAGCTTGAGGCTGCCGCTGCTCCCCCTTCCAGGTATGCAGACTGCTGGCCTCTGCTGGAACCTGGTTTTTGTTGAATTTAGGTGAAATTCATGAATTTTAAACGCTCAGTGGGATGGATGTTAACATGCTCTCACCATTTTAAGTTCTATCCCTTTCTTCTCCCTGGGGGTGGAGTTTGGCAAGAGGACAAGAGAGGCCTCTCAATGCCCTGACCTCTGTATTTGTCCCCAAGTCCAGTTTCCCTTCCCTGGGAAGTGTGGTAGGCATGTGAGTCTAGGGCTGTGGGGGCCCCATGTGCTCCCTGCTTTTGTGAAGTTCATGAAAAGGAGAGCCTGCAGTGACACCCCCGAATACAGAAATAGGCATTGCAGGGTACAGGGATGCAGGGTGGGGAGAGCAGCTCAGAGAGGCTTGGAGAAGGCGGGGGGTCGTCTGAGGAGACATCCACGCCCCTCCTTCTGCAGATTCCGATCCCTGTGACTGTGACATTGACGAGTCCCTAGACAGTCTCTCCAGGTAGAGCCAGGAGCAGGCCCCTGGCTGGCGGGGTGCTCCCCTCCTGAGCGGCCCCCAGAGGTGCCGTGCTGAGCTCCACAGGCCCCCATCAGGGCAGGTCTCAATCCCCCCTTCTCCAGGTCCAGGCACCTGTGAGGAGGGCCAGGGCCTGCAGGGAGCCGCTCTGTGCACGGGGAGGGCTCTCAGGCCTCTGGCTGGGACTGCCACCCATCTGCTCACTCACAGCTTCCTCTTTCTCTTACCGCCACCAAGCAGGAGAGCACATTACTGGCCATGATTACCAGCTGGTTGTGGACTGTGGGTTGTTTGAGCTGCCTCGGCGGGTCTGGCCACGCTGGGGGCAGCTTTCCCGGAAGTGGGCAGGAGGGTGGAGTGTGAGAATTTCCCGGGAGTCCAGACAGGGGTGGAGCCAGGACATCACGCTGGTCTCACCCAGGCTCCTGGGGAAGGGAAACCAGTTGCTCCCAGTCTGTCTGCCTTCCCTGTTACCCCTCCCCAACTGCTTTTCATTCAGCTGGTCCGTTTGCTTCATGGGTCTGCAGTTATTAAACCCCCAGCTATGTCCATTCAACCACGACCAAAGCACCTGGCAGGTAGGAGGAGGTGCTCAGGGACTGTCCGTCCCCTCCCGGCCCCTCTCAGCCCAGCTAACCCAACTGTCAAACTCTCCTTCCCACTGCAGCCATGTCATGTGGTCACTTCCCCTCTACTCCTAGGGCGGGGCAACCTCTTGGCCTCCAGGCCGCACGTGAGCCCCTCAGCCCCCTCCAGCCCACTTGGAGTTTGAGGAGGAAAAGGCAGAGTGGCTGGGGAGCCGCCGACTGCCCTGGGGAGAGGAAGGCTCTGACTTGTGCTGCAGAGGGAAGTTTTACTGAGAAGCCCTACAACTCAGTCACCCCCAAATCTTTTCTAGGGCCCCTACAGTTCGAAGAACTCAATGCTGCTGCTGCAAGTGTGCCCGGCGCGCCCCCACCCAGCACCACCGACACCCTCCCCGCTGGCCCCCGAGCCCATGTGTCTCAACCCAACGAGAGGTCTGGTGGCTGCAAGGCCCGGCCTGAGAAAGGGGGCTGCGGCCTGCGGCCCCAGGGTTGGGCTTCCCTACATCGTGTCTGCTAATCGTCAGTGGGCAGCAGCAGGGGAAGCGCCATTTCCTTAGTTTCCTGACACCATGTGGCGGGGACCAATTCCCCTGGCCTTTTCCTCTTCGCCATAGTGTTTCTCCCTGTTCCTAAGGAGAATCGAATCCCGTAGATTATTTATGAAGCATGGTCTCCCATTGCTTCTCATTAAAGTTGTATTCCCTTGGGAAAAAACTGGCCTATAGGTATTATTCCACCACATTTGAGTATTTTCATAATTAATACACTATTTATTCCCACAGATCAGCTATTATTACCAGCAGTTTCTAGGAGCCACCGGTTTCGTTCAAGGTCGTGCCGGTGGTCAGTGGACGAGTCACACAAGAACCCAGCCTCCTGCTTCTCAGTCTGGGGCGTCTCCCTCTTCACCTCGACATTCAGACCGTAGCAATGCCTTTTGGTGGTTGACTTGAAAAATATGCATTTCTGGGGCAGCTTTACAAGTATTTGACAAGTAAACCAACGAGTGTGATGCCTGTCCTACGTTTTCCTGTTTGGTTCAAGATCTTGATCTTGGGCTCCAGCAGTGTTGGTTCGTCTATGACTGCCGTGTCCAGAAGGTGAACCAGCAAGCCTCCTCGGTTCCCTTGCACTCTTCGGGCGAAGGTGCTCCCATGGCCAAAAGAGCTTGCTGAGTCCCTGCTCTGGGCCCAGTAGGGGCCACACAGGAAGGTCACAGCCCGAGGAAATTTCGGGCCAAGTTCAGGACATGCTTTCAAGACGTTCTCTGACCATCAGACCACAAGGTAGTGAGGTGATGGGGTGGGGGCGGCTCACTGGAAATAATGTACAGAAACTGCAACCCAAATGGGATTAAGTAGGAAAGTGTGCAGCTCCTGGGGTGTCGCAGCCAGCCACCCCAGCTTTGCTCCCTCAGGGCTCTCTGTTTTCTGACCAGCTCTAGGAACAGAACCAAAACGAAGCTGAACAAGGAAGCAGCACACAGGAAGAAAAGCAGAAGTGGGAGCCTTGGAGACTTGGCCGTCCTCTTTGAGGAAGATCGAAGCTTCAGGCCCAGTTGGGACCCGATGCTGCTGCAGGTGACCTCTGTGCTGGAGAGATGACCCAGCAGGACCGCGCATCGTGGCTGCCTTCTGCTCTGGCTCTGCTGCTTCTCTGGGCCCCAGGTGAGGGGCTGCCTGGGGGAGGGTCAGCGGGAGGGAGGGAGGGCAGAAGGGGTAGGGCTGCAGGGAGGTGCTACGGAAAGCACCCTGAGTCTGGACTCCATACTGAACTCAGAAGGGGACACGCTGTAACCACCACATAAGGTGGACAGATGGAGGGACCACAACCTGGGGAGGGAAAAGAGGCGAGGGCTTGTCTCTCGTCAGGCATCCGCCCGACCTTAGATGAGCCACAGTGGGGCGAAGGGGTTGGCACAGAGGAGGGGCTTGGCGGGAGGTTTTCAGATGAATTAATACAGGAAGGAGGGCGAGAGGCAGGAAGGACGCTGCCAGCGGAGTGGGGGGGAGGCTGGCCGCCCTGAGCGCACCCGGGGCGGGCTGTGTTTTGACGGGAGATACCCTCCTGGTTCACGAACGAGTTCCAGGATGTGGAGGAAGTGTGGGGGCTGGGGAGGAGCTTGTCATGGTCTCGGGGACTTGGAAGTGTGCAGCCAGGGCCCCTGGAGGGCTGGGGCCTAAGGGCCAGCGGGGAGGTGGGGACAGGGAAGCAGGATGGCAGTGGGAAGAGGAGGACAGGGAAACTGGGGGAAGGAAGGGAAGGGAGGCTTCCTCCAGTAGGAAGGACAGGGCCTCCTGCCCACTGTTCATCTCCTGTGCTTCTCGGTAGCTTACAGCTCGCCTCAAACAGGTCCTGCAGTCTGGTGAGGTTCATTTGTAGGATATTAAAAGTCTTGTTAGTTGTTCTGCTTCTAAATGGCACGTTGTCTCAATTCTGTTTGCTATTCTATTTCTGTCGGAAAGCTATGACTTTTTGTGAATGAATTTGGAAATCCTCTTACCGCTATTTTGTCTACTGACCCTCTCAGTGTCCTTGTGTGTTTCACGGGATCTGCCCGCATCGAGCGCTTGCGGCGCCTTCCTGATATCTGCCTCACTCACCCATTTTCTCACTCAATGTCCCCAAATGCCCCGTGAGGCCTACCAATTATCACCATTGGACAGATCAAGCATCTGAAGCTCAGAGAGGTTAAGTAACTTGCCTCAGGACACACAGCTGCTACACCATTGAGCAGAGACATAAACCCAGATTCTTCTGATACCCTTCCCACTACACCTTGGCAATCGCTACTGAGCATCTCAGTAAGTGTCACCCCTATGACAGGGCTTGGGAAAGCCTTCTCTGCAGGGCATCTGCTTACCCAGGCCAGGAGAGGAGGTCCTGATGGGTCCCCTGGGGAGTGACTGACAGGAGCTAGGCTCAGCTTTGGCACCTGGAACACAGAGCTGCGATGGGGATTAAAGAACCTGAAAACACAAGTTAATTTAAGGAGTTCTAACCCTAGGAAAAGAGAGCAAGCCCCTCCCCCACCCCTATTTGGGGGCCTGATCACAAAATTGCAAGGGTGACAAGCAGCTGCACACACAAGTGCCCAGGGGAGGGGACGAGTCCTCTGTGAGGTGGCCAGCATCGGTGTCACACGCATCACCTTACTCTCCCAGCTCTGTCTCTGAGAGCTGGAAAAATGCAGACATAAATCTTGGAAACAAAAAAATGAGCTTCCTTGAAAATTAAGTCTATAGGAGGAGCCAGGCAAACTGAAGTCAGACAGGATGGAATGAAGGTCGTCATCTACGGTAAACTTCTCGTGTGTGTGAATGATTTTTATCTACAATTTACCTAGCATCTCCAGTGTTTTGGGGACTGTTTGGCAGCCCTCCCTCTGCCCTTGGTGGTAGTCCCTTGGTGGGAACAGGCCCGTATGTGAGCAGTTCTTCAAGTCCCTGGGGTGCTCAGGGTGGGGGTGGGCCTCGGGGGTGAGCCTCCAGGGTGCTTGGGGTGGGGATGGGCCTCCCGGGTGCTTGGGCGAGTTCTGACAGTCCTGACAAGTTTGGAAGTGGGAGGTCCCTGGTCAGTGAGAAATGGGAAAGGCAGCAAGAAACAGGTCAGGGTCTGGAGGAAGGGGCTGCTGTGATCAAAACCTTGGAGTGACAGAGGAAGGGGAGGACACTCCAGATGTGATCTGGGTGATAGAGGATGACTGATGTGAAGGGGGAAACCTATGGGGGTGACTCCTCAGCACCCCGACCCTTGCCCATCTGGTGACGAGCAGGACTCGGCTGTGTCTTCCAGGCTCTTGGTCTCTGAGTGGCCCCCGCACCGTGACGGGCACAGTGGGGGAGTCCCTGAGCGTGCAGTGTCAGTACGAGGAGGAATTCACAGGATATGTCAAATACTGGAGCAAATATCGGTATTTGTCACTGATGACGAAGAAGATTGTGGAGACGACAGAGTCAGAGAGAGAAGTGAGGCGCGGCCGCGTGTCCATCAGGGATGACCCTGCAAACCTGACCTTCACAGTGACCTTGGACAGCCTCACAAAGAAAGATGACGGCACATACGAGTGTGGGATCAATAAATGGGGTCAGGACCCCACGTTCCTGGTTGAGGTGTCTGTGTTCCCAGGTGAGCTGCACACCCTCCCCTGTACCAGCTCCGGGGCACCTGTAGGGTCTCAGGTCAGAGTAGCTGAGGCAGGAATCAGAATAGAGACTCGGAGCAAACCGTGAGGGAGAGACAGAGACAGAGACAGAGACAGAGACAGAGACAGAGACAGAGACAGAGACAGAGACAGGTAGGCTTCCTGGAGGAGCTGGCGTCTGTGCTCAATCTTGAGGAATGGGAAGGTGCTTGTCAGGTGAAGGGGAGGCCAAGAGAGCAGCATGTGCAAAGGAGAGGGGATGCTGTGAGTCCCCCTGCAGAAGCCCAGAGCGGGGTGGGGGCAGCTGGGAGCTGAGCCCAGAGGCAGGCAGGGGCGCGCCAACAAGTGACTCGTCAGGTTTGTAGTTCAGACAGACATTTCTGGCAAGCAGGATGTGGCTGTGGCTGGAGGGGGACAAGACGGGGTGTGGAGGGGACTTAGAGGTTCTCTGGAAGGCTGCGACCCTCCTCAGCAGGATGAATTCAGGACTCCTGGGGGTGGTACCCACATACTGTTAGATGTTCATTTGATCCAGGACAATCACGGGGAGACTTTGGCCCCAGGCTCCTCCATCCTGTCTCCTTCCTGAGTGGGCATTTTGTGTGAAATCAAACCAAAAAGGTGTCGGCAAGTGGTGGGAGAGTCAGAAGAAAGATCCCTGGGTCTGATTTGTGTTTCTGCATCAGCATCAACGTCAGCGCCACCTGCAAACATCACAAGAGCCAAGACCTCGACAATCACAGCCCAAATCCCAACTGTGCCCGCAGTTCGGCCTTCAGTGGATGACACCGTCAGTGCCAACAGCCAGGAGAACGAACAGCAGGAACAGCAGCCGAGCGGGAGCTGGGGGTAAGGCGCCCTAGTCCCCGTGTCCTGGAGGGGAGGAGCTCAGGGCGCCACCTCCTCCCCTGGCCATGAGGTCCTGGGGGAGGGGTGGGAGTCGCGCCCCTGCTGGCTGAGGTTTCTGGCTCCTTTTGCACCAGACCCAGGCCGGAAGCCACAGTGTGTATGTTCTAGCTTGGGCTGTTGGGGCCACGCTGGACCTGCGCTGGGCTCCGAGAAAAGCTTCTTGGGGAGAAGCTGGGAGGTGAATGGAAGGAAAGTAACATTTAATGAGAGCTGACAACACCCCACCAGGCACGTGCTAAATGCCTTACATGAGTGTTCTCATATGCTCCCCACTACAACCCTGTACCGTTATCGCCCTCGTTTACAGATGAGGAAACTCAGGCTCAGACAGGTTCAGTGATTTGCTGGGTCATGTAGCTATAAGAGACAGGCTGGGCTTCCAACCCAGGGTCATGTGATTCCAAGTCTTGGGTTCTTCCTTTTGAACTAGTGATTCTTTATCTTTTTGGGGGTCACAGAGCCCAGGAGAATCTGACAACGTTTGTAGACTGTCTCCCTAGAGAAATGCATGCTGTCCTAAACCATTTTTGGGGTTCACAGCCTCCCTATCCTGACAACACCTGGTGTCGTGCAATTCAGTTCCAGCCCTGACACCTGGAGTGAGCACAGACTCCACATGTTGAGGGCTCGGTCCCATAAAACTACCCGACTTTAGATGCCAGAGCACTTTGGGGATCCCCAGGCCACCGCACTTCTGGCCAACTGGATATACATTTGGGGGTTCCCACTGGAGTCGGAGCACATTACTCACCTGGGACACAGATGTGTTCCCCGACCAGGAAGCTCCTCCAAGCTTTGGCGTCCAGTTTTTATTTGGGTTTCATCATAGAGGCACAATTGATTGAATCACTGG